ACGACGAACATGCGGATAAAATAATAAACAAAGCAATCTTCATGATCTAAATATCCACACGCTTATTATACTAAATCTTGAACAGAAAAAAAACGTAGACATGATAACAAGACAAGCACAAAATTACAACAACATTAAAGTTAATCTGTGTCTCATTGGAAGTTGGTAGCCCTGACAAGTACAGCTTAGTTGGTACCCCTGCCCCTCCCATCCCCCTGACACGGAACAAGACAGTGACATGCCAGCTTGACATGAACAAGACCAGCAGAAATGGCCGGCTATTAAAGCCTAGGGTGAGGGGAAGAGAGAGGAGAGAGAAAAGGAAAAAGAGAGGGGGGGAGAAAAGGAAAAAGGGAGAGGGGAGAGAGATGAAAAAAGAGAGAGGGGAGAAAGAAAAGAGACCAGAGGAATGATTGAGGAGGGGAAGGGAAGAAGGAAGAGAGGAAGGAAAAAAGGAAGAGGGAGAGAAGAAAGAAAAGAAGGGAAAAGGAAGAAGAGAAAAGAAGGAAAAGAAGACAGGAGAGAGCAAAGAGGGAAGAGAAAATAGAGAGATAAAAGGCAAAAAGGAAAAGAGAGATGCTGATAAATGTATTAACACTCTGGGAGAGGGGTGAAAAGGCGAGCATTAGGAGTGTAAAAAAAGATAAGAGGAAAAAAGAAGATAAAAAAATAGGAGGAAGAAAAAACAACAAAGAAGAAGAAAAAAAGACAGGAGAAAGAAAACCAAAACAAAAAGAAGGAAAGAAAGATAGGAGGAAGAAAACAAAAACAACAAAAAAGGAAAAAATAGGAGGATAAAAAAAGAAAAAAATAAAGATAAAAAAAGAAGAGGAAAAAAATATTAGGAGGAAGAAAAAAAAATAAAAAAAAAACGGAAAAGAAAAAATAGGAAGAAGAAACCAAAACAAAAAAGAAAAAAAGGATAGGGAAGAAAAAAAAAACAAAAACAAAAAAAGAAGGAGAAAAGATAGGAGTAAGAAAAAAGAAAAAGATAGGAAGATAAAAAACAACAAAGAAGAGGAAAAAAGAAAAAAATATAGGAGGAAGAAAAAATAAAAAGGAAAAAAGATAGATGGAAGAAAAACGAAAAAACGAAAGGAAAAAAAAAGAGAGGAAAAAAAAAAAAAAAAAAAAAAGAAAAAAAAGAAGCAGAAAAAACGAAGGGTACTGAGTGAAAAGGCAAAAAAGAGAAAGAGGGAAGAGGGCAATGAGGTAGAAAAAGAAAAGTGTGTAAATCAGAGGAAGTAAGAAGAAGTAAGACAAGATAATGGCGAGGCAGGAAGAGGTTGTTTATGTATATTATCATTATCATTATCATTATTATCATTATCATTATTATCATCATTATTATCATTATTGTTATTCTTATTATCATTATTGTTATTCTTATTATCATTATTATCATTATCATTATCATTGTTATCATCATCATCATCATTATTATTATTATTATTATTATCATTATTATCATTATTATCTTGATTATGATTATTACTTTGACTACGATTATTATTGTTATTGTTACTATCATTACAATTATCATCAAAATGTTTATTATCATTATCATTATCATCATCACCACCACCA